TTCAACTGACTGAGCCACCCAGGCGCACCCGCTTGGCTGTTTCTTAAGCACTGCAAATGAGTTCGCCTTCACGGTCGTGACATTTGCTGTTTCTTCTGCCTGGGTCAATCCCTTGCTTCCTACAAAATAACAACCTTGTAAGAGGCCTTCCTGGCCATCCGTCCTGTTACCTAAGAGTAACGTGCCTCCTGGGCTGGCCCTGCCCCAGTCTCTTCTCAAGAACCTCACCACCCCGTCTGCAGCAGCCTCCTGACACTCAGCAGTCAGCCTCGACTCTTTGCTCCCTGGCACCATCCTGGACCTGTGTCTCCCTCCCTCCTGGTGTCCTAGCAACGCCACTTTGTGACGCAGGCGTAGCTGCTCTGTCCTCTGGTCCAGACCCCTTCCTTCTCACTCATATCTCCGCCTCAGCCCTGTCCCTGAGGCTCTGCCTCCAGTCTCATCTCCAGCACTACCTTTCAAAACATAAATCCGCCTGTACTACCCTTTCTGCTGAAACCTCTCCTTGATGCCCACAGTTCTTGGGATCGAATCCAAACTCTGTAATGTGGTGGACAGGGCCCTGCATGGTCTGGCTCCTGCTGACTTCCCAAAAAACCTCCCATCAGCTGGCCCCTCAGTTTCTACCCTTGAGCCAAGGGGCCTGTGTTCAGTGACCTAACAGCATCCGCCTTCCTCTCCACCTCAGGGCCTTTGCACATGCTACTCCTTCCCATTCACGGAGACGTCCTCTTTACATCCCATCTTTCCTTTCCCCCCCTTCCCCCCCCTTTCTCTCTTTTTAAAAAAAAATTGTACAGGCGTGCCTGGGTGGCTCAGTCAGTTAAATGTCTGACTCTTGGTTTCAGCTTGGGTCATGATCTCACGGTTTTGTGAGTTTGAGCCCCTCATCGGGCTCTGTGCTGACGGTGCAGAGCCTGCTTGGGATTCTCTGTCTCCCTCTCCCTCTCTGCCCCTTGTTCACTCCTGCTTTGTCTCTCTTGAAATAAATACCTAAAAAAATTGTATAATAGCTGACACACAGAGCAGTATACAAAGTATATGCATATAACTGAAGAAACAGTTACAAAGCAGACACCATGTGACTGCATCCTGGGTCAAGAATATACCATCAGCCCCTCGGAAACTACTCACCTGCTCCCACCTCCTTATTGTTCTTATCTTTGGCAGAAATGACCCTTCCTCATGGAACCTACCTTTGCCCCTTGGGCTAGATTAGACACTCCTTTGAGTCCTGGACCGTATCCACTCGCGGATCCCAGTGGGTCTCCTCTGCCGGCTTTCCCCTAGCACAGTTCATCTATTACTTTGATCATTATTTGCTTGCTGGCTCCCCGGTACCGGGTCAGTGCCAGGACAGCAGGGGCCATGTGTGCCCGCAGCGCCCAGCAGAGGGCCAGGCACACAATGAGCACTTGCTATGCGAATAAACACGGGTGCTCTATTACAACGTGCTGTGCAAGCAGAGACCGGGGCAGCTATGCAGCTCGCGTGCCTGCCCTCAATAGCAGGCTGTCATCCCAGCTCAGCCCAAGGGAAGAGATAAACGAGAGCAGATGCAGAAGGCCGGTGGGCTGACCGGTGTGAGGGGCAGCGCGGCCGGCGGCAGGTGGAAGCGCATGTGGGCCTCCTGGGCTCAGGTGCTCAGCGACCAACTGGGAACTTGGTTCCCCCGCCAAGACGGGAAAGTTGTGGGAGGGCAGCCAAGTAAGGCCCATACATGGGACTTGCACACCTTCTCTATCTGGGATGCCCTGCCCTCCTAGTCCCCTGGCTCGCATCAGCCTCTTTGTTCTAGGAAAGCCTCTCACACAATGGGGTCTGGCCCTTCCTCTGGGCTCCCGCATCCCAGGTGCTTCCCTCACCTTGGCCCTGACCACTCTGGGAACAGGTGTGTCTTCCCTGTTGGACTTTGAGCCCCAAGAGGGCAGGCCTGGGGCTGTCTCAGCCATCTTGGTGTCCCCAGAACTGCCTGAAAGAGGCATGGCCCCGGAGAAACATTCTGATTTGGTTAGTTTGAGGCATACCTCTCCTCTTTTTATAACAATCCCCTGTGATTTTAATGACAGGCAGGCTCAAGGCCTACTGCCTGGTATGGTTCTAAGGGTCCTACACACAGTAGGTCATTAAATCTTTACCATATCCTTATGAGATAGGTATGTGATTTATCCCCCATTTTACAGACGAAGAAACCGAGGCCCAGAGAAGTTCAGTCATTTGCCCAAGGCCACACAGCCAAGGCAAGGCAAGAGGGAGGGCTTGAACCCTGGTGGAGGTCCAACTCTCATCTACCATGCAGATGTTTCTTTAAATCAACTCATTCAATTTTCCTCAACTTGTCCAAGACAGTATCTGTAAAAGCAGGGGATGGGCAGGTAACACCTTTCCTAATACTCATTAAAGCAAACATTTATCTGTTAAAAAAACAAAAAACAAAAACATTTTCCTCCTATACCACCCAAATCACCTCGAGCACCCCATTTTGGGAAATGCTGTTCCATGCCAGAGCCTGGTTGCCTAGGAGAAAACTTCAGGAAGCAGCTTAATGAGTAGATAAGAATGATTTGCAATTAGCATCAATTGTCTGTATGCAAATTAAAGCTCCCAACCGCTGGGCCCTCTTTTGTAGTGGGCTCCTCTCCCATTTTATTCCCTTCATTCCTGGGTTCAGCAAATCTTTCCGTCAGACACAGGGTAATTTTATACCCACTCCCTGCTTCAGCCACAGTCTTCTCCTCAGAGCCGCTGCCTTTATATCGCAGATTTCAAAACCCTACAGTTACTCAGATTTATGAACACAGGCCTATGTCTAGCACAGGGACTAGCGGAGCTGAGACCTGGGACCCCGCGGCACCCAGGACTCTCCTGGTGCAGAGTCCCTCTAGGTGGGTGCACTTTGACAGGTGTCTCAGTGATGGCCTAATTGTTGTCTGTCTCCCTCAGCGGATGATGGGCTGAGGTGAGGGGCTGGGGGGGGGCCTCATCTGAATTTGCTCATTATTTCTCCCCGGCTCCCACTCTAGTGTCTGTGACACAACAGGTCCCTAAGAAATATTTGTGAGTGAAATGAAGGGATAAATAACGAATGAAAGAGCTGTTCCAGAGTCCGTGAGTTTCACTGATTAAGAACCACCTGTTTAGGGAAATAGGCTGAACCAGAGACTAAACCCACTGGGCCACACACCCTCTCCATCCTCACCCTTCTGGGCCCCTGACCAGGGCAAGGGGAGGTACCCACACAATGCAGGCACCCTCAAACACGGCAGTTTCCAAACCGGTCAGAGAACCACTGCTAAATCATGAGATCACTGAAGGAGGTATTGAGCTGCATTCACATTTTGAACAGACTAGACTACATCAAAGTGCTTCACACACAGTTAGGCTAAGTACTGTTTGGGTCACTTTTGCTTCGCCTTTTTTTTTTTTTTTTTTTTTTTTTAAACACAGATATTTCTGCATAGACACAGACAGAAGTGCACTGTAGGCTGCGGTCAAGGTCTGAGGCCACTGCCTGGGTGCATGGGTCCTGTGTGGTCTGCGTGGACAGAGGCTGTAGTTTGAGGGCTGGCAAAGGCCTGAGGAAACCAAAGGGGACAAGGACTCCCTATGGGGTCCCGGGCTGGCCCCTGCTCAGGGGCGGTCAGGGAATGGAAGGAAGGCTGTGGCCTTTGGGGTCTGCACTGGGGACCGCAGCACCGTGACCCTTGCCTGGGGTGCAGACCTGTGAGGGGCACGTGCTCCAGGCTGAGCTTGGCAACTTGCTGAACGGTTTTCCACCTCAGCGCTTCAGAGAGACATTTCATGGCTTTCATAAGGTGCCCTAAGTGTGTGCAGTCTAGGCCCCAGACATCAATGCCAGGTCTTTCTCCCTTGGTCCCCTGCCTGCCTCTCCACCAGTGGTCCTCAAAGGATGGTCCCCGGACCAGCAGCATCACCATCTACCAGGAACTTAAAAGAATGCATATTCTCAGGCTGTGCTCTGACCTACTGAATCAGAAACTCTGAGTGGGGTCCTGCAATCTGTGCTGAAGAGCCCTCTAGGGGACTGTGTGGAGACCACTGCCCTTCGCTGTGTTGGCCAGAAGGTTAAACTGTGATTTCTCAGCCTTCCTTGTGACGTCGCTCTGTTCAAAGGGCTCTGGGAAAGCTGTTGCTTTCTTCATGGAAAGGGAACTAGGAGAAGCCATCTTCCTCTGTTTTTTGGGCCCATTCCCCCCAGGGGCACCACAGCCATCTGGAGACAAGGGAGCCGCAGCCAGTATGGTAAGAATGGTGGAAGAGGAAGACACAGGATGCCAGGCCTTGAGGCCCTCCCTGAGCTGCTGCACTAGCTTGGCTCTGCCCTCTGTGGAGTTCTCATCGGGGGACTGTTAAAGCTCCGTCTGTTTAAGCTACTGTGGCTCAGGGGTGCCTGCGTGGCTCAGTCGGTTAAGCGTCCGACTTCGGCTCAGCTCATGATCTCACACTGCCTGAGTTCGAGCCCCGCGTCGAGCTCTGTGCTGACGGCTCAGAGCCTGGAGCCTGTTTCAGATTCTGTGTCTTGTCTCCCTCTCTCTCTGCCCCTCCCCCGCTCATGCTCTGTCTCTGAAAAATGAATAAACCTTAAAAAAAAATTTTTTTTTAAAAGCTACTGTGGGTCAGATTTCCTGTTACCTCCAGCCGAATGCACGCCTAACACATACAGTCTGTGACCTCCAGAAAGCATAAAACCACTGGTCTTAGCAGAGAGAGAAGGAAAGAGAGAGGCTCAGAGTAAACCAGAGGCAGATGAAACAGCCAGCCAGGGGTTTCCTTCCCTCTACCCAGGGTACTAGAAGGTGAATGATGGGCAGTAGTGGGTGGTCCATGAGCCTCCCAACTCTGTAAGCAAACTAGTGTGTAAGCACATCCATCTGCAAGCAGCATGCTTGTAGGGAGGGGAACCCCCCTGTCAGGACTGTGGGGGAAGCAGAAGGCGGTCCGAACTCCTTGGAGGACCGGGGTGAAGAGCAGTGTCTTACCTAGGCTGCCTTGGTGGGTCACGGCTACCCCCCGCCAGGCCTGTAGGGGTGCTGGAGCCTGAGGAGTACAATTTCGGTCGGTAGCCCTTGTTCTGACCGGCAACTGCAGGGGCTGGCGAGACCTCCCGCCGTCTGTCTGCGTGGTGGGACCGCGTGGCGGCCTCCCGTCCGCCGCCGCAAAGGCCCATGCTTCCTGGGGGCTTGTGTGGCTTGGGCTGCCGAGGCACCTTGGCCAGGGACATGCAGCTGGGGCTGGAGGTGTAGAGGGTGGTGTCGATGCCGCTGTCACTAGAGCCACCCTTGGAGAGGGGATCTTGCTCCGGCTCTAGGGGGTCCAGGGGGTCAAACCAGCGGTCGTCGCTGTGGCTGCTGGATGCGTTGCTGGAGAGGGTGTTGCTGCTGGAATGACTGGAGTACTGAGGTTCTCCCTGGAAGGCAAGAGAAGTGTCATCCATAGAGTCCACAGTGGGGGCCAACCTTCCCTCCCCGGGTCCTCCCCACACCCAAGCTCTGGCTCCCCTGCTTTTGAGCGTGTTACTTCAGACAAGTGACGTAGCTCTCCTGTGCCTCAGTTTCCACACCTGTGAAGCTGGGTTGTTGATAACCCTGCCTCATGGGGTTGTTCAGAGGGAGGCGTGACAGTATGCGTGTGACGTGCTGTCCACAGCTCAAGCTCAACGCATACAAAGCTGAGCTCCTGACCTTCCTTCCCGGATCCCTCTTTCCCGCCCCAATAAAGGCACCTCCAGCCTTTCGGCTGCCCCACACAAGAGGCTTGGAGTCATCCGGGACCTGCTGTTGCTCTCGCACCTGTGTGCAGCCCAACAGCAAATCCTGTGGCCTGCATCTTCAAGAGATCTAGGACCTGCCACTTCTCCACCTCCACGGCTCCACCCCGGGCCTGTCACCACCACCTCCCACTGTACCTATCATGGCAGCAGCCTCCTCCCTGGTCCTCCTGCCCCATCCCTGTCTCCCACTCACCTCTGCCCCCAGTTTGCCTATATGCAGCCAGAGGGAGGCTGTGAACACTTGCCCCATTTCATGTCCCTTCCCTGCTCAGAACCTTCCTGTGGCTCCATTTCACTCATGGGAAGAGCCAGAGTCCTCGCCCTGAGGCTCTGTGCAGTCTGGTCCCACGTTCTGCCCTCTAACTTCATCTGCCCCCTCCCTTCTGATCACTGTGCTCTGAGCAGGGCCTTGGCACTTGCTATTGCTTCTGCCTGGAAGGCTCTTCCCTCAGGTATCTTCATGGACTGCCCCTTACTTCATTCAAGGCCTCCTCACAAGGCCTTCACTGACCACCTCACCCTAAAGCAGTAGTGCTTGACAGTCTTCTCCCTGACCTCTGCCTTGGTTATCCTTCACAGCAAAGACCAGTTCCTGGTGTTATGGAATGCATCTGTGTATCCGCTTACTGCTTGCTGCCCACACTGGGGTGTCAGCTTTGGGAGCACCTGGGCACATCTGTCCACTTCATCACTGTGGTCCCAGGGCCTGGCACATCGAATGTACCCATCAAATTCCCACCTTATGAAGGGATGCAAAGAGACTGCCAAGTGCTCACCAAAATGACCTCCTTTCCCCAGGGCACTCAGGACTACATTTCCCAGCTTCCCTTGCGCAGAGGTGTGGCCTCGTGATGGAGTGCTGGCCAATGCAATATAAGTGGAAACTAGATTTATACCATTTCCAGGCCTGGGCTATAGAGACTTCGCACACCAGCTCCTCTTCCTCCCACCCCTACCTGCCAGAAACAGGCAAGGACCCAGCAGAGGGCTCTGAGGCCCTGAGGGACGGCAGAGCCACAAGGGATAGGGAGCCTGGGTTCCAGAATCACCATGTGGAAAGCTTGCTCACTGAATATCCACACCCAACTGTGTTATATGAGAGGGAAACAAACTTCTACTGTGTGAGGTCACTGAGATTTAGGGACCGTCTGTTAGAGCAGTTAGCTTACTGCCACAGGCTGACCGCTGGTGTGCCTCTCCCAGTGTGATGGCATTAGGGGAGGTGATTAGGTTATGAGGGCAGAGCCCCCGTGAATAGGATTATAAAATCCCTGTTATACATATTTACATATTTATACCCCTATATGTAGTTATCCATTCCTCGTGAGTGGGATTATTAAATCCACATACATACATTTACATCCTTACATGAGAGACCCCAGAGAGCTAGCTCCCTCATCCCTTCCACCACATGAAGTGAGAAGGAGGCCATCTATGAACCAGGAAGTGGGTCTTCACCAGACACTGAATCTGCCTGAGCCTTGATCTTGGACTTCCCGGCCTCAGAACTGTGAGAAGGAAATTTCTGTTGTCAGCCACCCAGTCTATGGTATTTTGTTACAGCAGCCTGAGCTGGTGAAGACACTGACCATGACCAGTGTAATCGTAGGGAAACCGTGGCACAAGGAGGCAAAGGGATTTGCTGGCGATGACTTGGCTGGTGAGGGCTAGAGCTGGCTGTGCGTTTGTCTGGCTCTAGACCAAGCAGTTGGCCCCTCTGCAGGAGTGGACGGCAAAGGAGAAGGATGTGCTCACGTATGGCATTCAGAGGCCCACACCCAGGTGACACTGTCAGACCCACAGTGGTCAGGGAAGTGAAGCAGCCAGCTTCGCAGTCCTGGCTCCCCAGGATTAAGCAGGTGGGGCCCAGACTCACTTTGGAATGCCTGTTGGGGGAATCTTTGCCCGCTGCGTCCTGCCTGGAGGTGTGCTTGCTCCCGCTGCTTCCCGCCATGGCTGAGAGCCGGGCCTGGGCGGGCACATGCCACAAAGGCTCTGCAGGAAGACAGGAGACACATCAGCGGTTAGAGGTGACTCAGGCCCTGGCCTGAGTCCACCTGATGAATCTGGCCCTAAAAATGGTCCCACCCCTCTGCCAGCTTGTCTGCCCAGCTCATACAGCACCATGACCCCATCAAGTTATGTCTTGCGGAATAACAACACTCAGTGATGAAATATTTACTAAGCACTTACTATGTGCTAGACCCCAGTCTAGTGCTTTACAAGGGTTAATTCACTGAAGCCTTAGGACCATCCTCCGTCAACATCCCCAAGGAAGGTTGAGCACATTTTCATCCTTACTGGCCATCTGGATTTTCTATTTTGTAAATTACTTGTTCCTATCTTTTTCCCATTTTTCTTTTTTTTTCTCTTTTTCATTTTTATTTATTTTAGAGAGAGACAGAACACACACGAGTGAGGGAGAGGGGGCAGAGGAAGAGAAGGAATCTTAAGCGGTCTCCGCACTCAATGTGGAGTCCAACGTGGGGCTCAATCCCACAACCCTGAGATTATGACCTGAGTTGAAATCAAGAGTCGGACACTCAACCGACTGAGCCACCCGGGTGCCCTCTTTTCCCGTTTTTCCATAGGATTGACTTTTATCTTATTGGCAAGCAGGGTTCTTTATATATGCAAGGTAGCAATCCTTTGCTGGTTAAATGTGCATAACTTATTTTGGTAAACAAAAATGCAATCACACTAAGCACTGTTCTACAATTTGATTTTTTACTTTACAGCATACTTATACTTGCTTTTCACTTTATATCCTTGTAATACATCTTCACGTAACTGAACATAAAGTTGTCTTATTTTTTTTTTCAACGTTTATTTATTTTTGGGACAGAGAGAGACAGAGCATGTATGGGGGAGGGGCAGAGAGAGAGGGAGACACAGAATCGGAAACAGGCTCCAGGCTCTGAGCCATCAGCCCAGAGCCCGACGCGGGGCTCGAACTCACGGACCGCGAGATCGTGACCTGGCTGAAGTCGGACGCTTAACTGACTGCGCCACCCAGGCGCCCCGAAGTTGTCTTATTTTTAACGGCTGTGCAGTATTCCATCATGCTGAATGGACATCATTTCCTCAACCACGAACATGTAGGCTATTTTCAATTCTTCCTTACAACAACGTTTGGGTGGCCCTCCCTCTACACGCAACCCTGAGCAAGAGTGGGATTGTGTTGGGACGGAACTCCACAAGTGGAGTTGCTGGTTCAAAGGTGAAATAGGTTTAAAATCGTGATGGCCGGTATGGGTGTAAATTAGTCTAAACTTCCAGGTAGTCAAGGTGCCTGAACTTAGCAACTGACCTAAAAAACAAAACAAAGAAATAAACAACCCCCAAAACCCTCTAGTGGAGGGCTAGTTACTACCTATCAAACACAAATGCACTAACAGAGGACAGAGGAACCATGGTGGTCTAACCCCAAGGCCCACACTTTTGATCACTTCTGTATTTAAAATAATTACAGCAGGGACGCCTGGGTGGCGCAGTTGGTTAAGCACCCAACTCTTGATCTCAGCTCAAGTCATGATCTCACAGTTCGTGAGTCCAAGCCCCACGTTGCGTTCTTCGCTGATGGTGCGGAGCCTGCTTGGGATTCTATGTCTCCTTCTCCCTGCCCCTTACCTGCTTGTGCACTCTCTCTCTCAAAATAAATAAATAAACTTAAAAAAAAAAATTACAATAATGGTGCCTATTAAACACACGTTCTGTGTCAGGTATTACTAAAACTGCTTTGCACACATCATCTTGCTATGTCCTCCAAGGAATACTGTGAGGTGGCTATTAGTACCACTTCCAAAAGGTGAGGAATGTCAAAACTCAAGAGAGTTCAAGTAGCTGGTCCAATGTCACACAGAGGGTCTGAGACCTGTGTGTGCCGTCCACATTTGCACTCTCTCTCTGTGCTTCCCCAGCAATGACACCACTGGCAACGGTGGGGAGCATGTGTTTGAGAAGCAGGACTTGCCATTCTCTTAATGATGGGTTGGGGCCTATGCTGAGAGCTGGGCAGCTGTGACCTCACTGGACCCTCAAACCATGCTGGAAGGAGAGACACTTAGGATGTCCGCCACAGAGGAGGGACCTGTGGCTGGGACAGATGAAGTCACTGCCAAGGTGACACGGCTGACTCTGAACTTCCCACAAGGCCTGTTGGAGCCTGAGCTCACTACTACACGCTGGGCCCATGTTCCCCTGGGGAAGGCTCCTGCTCTGCGTGGGCTGGGCAGGACACTCAGGGCCACCACAGAGAGCAGCCTGGTTGGAAAGTCCACGTGGTGGCGGGGAGGCTGCCCACTTCATCCGTCTACTCTACCTCTGGAGATGGTTTTCCTCTTTGGAGCATCCCACAGGCCCAGAAGTACTAGTTTCTGGGAGGTGGCCAGATCATGCTGGAAACCACGTTTCTAGAGACAGCCAAGCCTGTGACAGCCATAGCCAGCCTTAAGTACCACCTATGACACTGGTGGCTTCCATTTTTCTGTCCCTGGCCCGGACCTCTCCCGACTTCAGACCTTTGCCGTATAGATGGCTACCTCACAACACCTCCTCTGGGGTGGCTACCAGGCACCTCCCGCTGAACATGGCCAAGACCAACTGCTTATCTTCCCCCAAACCTGCATCACTCACTGTCTTTCCTGCTCAGTCCATGTGGTTCGATCCTTTCAGCTGCTCAGGGCAGAAACCTGGTATCAACCTTGTCTCCTCTCTCTCAATCCATGTAGAGGATTAGGAAGTGCCATCAACTCTACCTTTAAATGACTGTATCTAGAACCTGCCCATCCCTACCACCCCTGTACCTATCCTGCAAGAATCGGCAGTCAGAGAGACCCTGTGAACACCCAGGTCCCATTCCTCCTTCGCTCAGAAGGACGGAGCTCCTGTCCTACTCTGAGCGAAGGACAAAGTCCTCCCCACATGCTCTGGCCCCGTCCCCTCTCTGACCTCATCCTCCACTACTTCTCTAGCCACACGGCCTCCTTACTGTTCCTCCTACGCTCGCTGCTATCTCAGGGTCTTTGATTATTCTCTTTCCCTGGAATGTTCTGTTCCCAACATTTTTCCAGCCTCACCTGAATGTAGTTTGCTCAGAGATTCCCCCAAACCCTGTCCATCTGTCTCAGCACTGTGTTATAGTTTCCACTTGATATTCAGCCTTAATAGTGATCATTTATCACTGTGTGCCCATCTACTGTCCGTCTCTCCGCCAGACTGTGGGCTCCAAGAAGGCAGGGAACGTGCCCGTCTGGCTCACACTGTGGTGCCCAGTGTGGTGTTTATCATTAGCGATAGGTCAAATGAACAGCGGGATAGAGGACCAGGTCCCTTCCCCTCCTGCGCTGCCTCAGGGTCCTTCACTGATATGATATGGGGCCCTTCACTGGGTCTCTAAATGGCCCCTGGTAACCTTATGGCTGTCTTGATGGAATGATCTCCCTTGTCATACCAGGCAGGTGACAGACATGAATTTGGCTGTGATAGATGTGCTACAACTGTGGCCAAGCACAGACTCAGGCAGCTGGTGACTCAGGGGCCTCCTTCCCAACCTGGGTGCTCTCAAGCTTGAGAAATACTCACACTCTGTGGGTGAGGGGCTGTGGGTGGTGTTTGTGGACGGTGGGGGCTGAGGGGTCCTAGCACCCAATAGGCTTTGGTTCAATCGCAATTATGCCTCTCACCAGCAGGGACCTTGGACAAGTGACAACCTTCCTATGCCTCATCTAAAAAAATGTTTATTTTTGAGAGAGAAAGAAAGAGAGAGAGAGAGAGAAAGAGAGAACATGCATGCGCATGCAGGGCAGGGGCAGAGAGAGGGGCACAGGGGATCTGAAGCAGGCTCCATGCTGACAGCAGAGAGCCTGATGCGGGGCTGGAACTCACAAACTGTGAGATCGTGACCTGAGCCAAAGTCAGACGCTTAACTGACTGAGCCACCCAGGCGCCCCTCACCTTCCTCATTTCTAAAATGGGCCAGTAAAAAGTACCCACTCTGTCACATTCCTGAGATGATTAAATATGAAGTAAGAGGGCATGGAGAGTACCCAGTATGGCGCCGGGTATATAACAAGCATGCAAAACTGTCCTGCTGTTACTATGATTACATCACCTGATCAGGGCTGGGAGAATCCCCATGTCTTGTCACAGTGCCCGATTCTCCACCATGAATTACCTTGTCTGGGTCTTGGGCACATTCTAGGTTTCATGATGACCTCTTTCTTTTTTTTAATGTTTATTTATTTATTTTGAGAGAGAGAGAATCCGAGGAGGCTCCACACCGTCAGCATAGAGCCCAAAGCGGGGCTTGAATTCACGAACCATGAGATCATGACCTGAGCTGCAACCAAGACTTGGACACTTAACCAACTGAGCCATCAGGCGCCCCTAGGCTTCATGATGATTTCTAACCACAGACTGCCCTGATTTCTGTGTGTGTGTGTGTGTGTGTGTGTGTGTGTGTGTGTGTGTGTGTAGCGGGGGGTAGTGGTGTTAAGTCAACTTATAACAAGGTCCCAAGGAAGTAAGGGGGGAGCCAAGCCCTAGGGGACAGAAGAGAGAAGAGAAAGACAATGGTGAGTTTCTGTGACACCTTGTTTGGGTGAACGTTGGAAAAATTTCCTCTCCATTTTACACTTTGGTGTAATGAAATTGCCAAGCAACACTTTTCTTTTTCTGAACTGGGTGGGGAAGGAAAGATGCAAATCTGTCTGTTGTGGAGAAGAGCACAGGGCTGCAGGCAGTGGCTGGCAGGATCGGGTGTGTGGAGGAGAGAAGCCAGCCATGTCTGCAGGCCCCGGAGGCAGCAGAAGGGAGCGAAGTCGGGATGGCGACCTACTTGCCTGAAGTACAACTGTTTTCCCTGGTTTAAGGGAACCATAGGGCTGGGGGGCCGAGAAATTGCCCAGGCTGCTACTCCTGGGACACACAACCTCTTTCCTGTCCCACCATGCCTGAGGGAGCTGGCGACTCTGACACGGTCAGCCCCTGGAGCTGCCTGGAAATTCCCGACTATCTCTCTAAGAAGACAGCTCCATGTCTCCCCCCTCCAATGTCAATGCTCTTTTACACTTCATTCCTTTCCTTTCTTTTAAACCCACCCATTCATCGGGTAGTTCTCAGACTTCCAAGGGGGGACAAGTTTGTTATGTGAAATTCTACTTCAAATATTCCACAAAGTGTACATGCCCACAATTAATCATACATAGGAAGATAAACAGATCAGAAGATGCTCAGTCTTATCAGGCACCAGAAAATGCAAATTAAAACCACAATGTGACACCACTATGCGTCCACCAAAGGTTGGTGAGGATACGGAGCGGCCACACCTCTCCTCTGTCACGGGAGGGAGTGTGAAATGGCTTGTCACTCTGAGCAAAGGCGTGGCAGCTTTGCATGAAGTTAAACATGTGATCTAACAATTCCACTTGCAGGCATATACCCGGCGGAAGTGTGAGCGTGTGTTCAGCACAGACCAGTATGAGAACACTCCCAACAGCACTAGTCTAAGCAGCCCCAAGCTGGAAGCCACCCAAATGTCCATCAGTGCCAGAACGGAGTAATACGTTGTGGGTCATTCGAACAATGGAGAACGACTCAGAAATTGCACTGCCTCCCACAGCCGTGTGGCTGACTCTCAATAACATGGTACTGAGCGACAGAAGCCAGACGTGCACACAAAACGCATCAAGCCAGCAGGAGTATTTCATATACATGAAATTCACAATGAGGCAAAACGAAGTCTGGCTGTGAGAAGCAGGGCAGGGGTGGCCTTTGGGGGTGCTGACTGGGAGGGGCCTGGGGGGCTTTCGGAGGCTGGCCATGTTCAGCCTTTTACCCTAGGTGTGGGACGTGGGTGTGTTCACTTTGTGACCTGTTATCATGCTGGACACTCATGATCTGGCTCTTTTCTCAGCATGTGCTGCACATCTAACAGTGAGAAAAGAGCACAGGAGGGTTTATGTAATGAAAAGCCTCAGAACACAATCAGTTCTGCTCCCCTGAGAGCACCACTTTTAGTCCTTCTCTGCTGTTTCCCTGGGAGGTTGACACCTCCATGTCGCACGTCTGTACACGGGCTCCTGAGTGCGTGCCATCTGCTGACGCCGTGTCTGGACAGAGGAGGATCAGGCTCACTGGTCCCTGCTGCTCTCTGGGGCGACCTCCCTAATCTTACATGAGGCTCCAACAGCTTTCCTTTGTGTTCTATCTGTCGCTGACAGGGGGGAGGTGTGCCCCCTCGCAAATTATAGGAAGTCCCGCTGGGCAAGGTAGGCGGGTGCAGCCGGTCCCGGGGAGGCCCTACCTGGCTTCTGACGCTCCATGGTGCTCTCCTGGCTGGTCAAGCCGCCTGAGGAGGAGTCGCCGCTGGACATCCCGTCGTGGCTGAAGTGGGGATCAAAAGACAGCAGCGGGTGTGGGGCAGCCGCATACCTGCAAGGGAGCGAGAGCAAGCAAGCACAGGGTGAAGGGCTGGCGTGTCAAAAACCATCTGAGCCCAACGGCCTGCTCACTGGTGGGTTTTAAATACACTGGAGGCTCTGTGCGGAGGGGATCCTAGATGAGTAATCCCGGAAACATACTATTAGCTGAGGGTCAGGAATGAGTCTCGCCCGGGAAGCATGCCAGGGAGTGCCGGGCAATGCAGGGTCCTTCAAGGAAGGAGGGGCAGAAGCCACTTGGGTGGAGGCCCTACTGGTAGGCTCCCCAGGGGTCTTGTTTCTTGGCTGTGAAATGGGGTGAGGTGTTGCCGGCAGCTCCACCCCCCACGCCTGTCTCGGGTTGAAGCGTTTGTAGGTACAGGAGGCCTAGAGCTGGACAGGTTGGGATTCAAACCTCGCCACCACCTCTTTCTCAGCCAGGGACAGTCACTTCCTAGCCCCGAGCTACAGTTTTCCTAAGCTGGTGATGGCGGTAGGCCTTTCCTCAAAGGACTGACTGATGTCCTGTGTGCCCAGCGCTTAGCCCGAGGCTGACACACACAGAGCTGTGAGAAGTGGCCAACAGGCCAGAACTCAGTGTACATCCCTCTGTCGGAGGAAGGCGCTGCAGAAGAGAAGCTGTATGCTCAGGCTTCAGAGTGAGACAGAGCTGGGCTCAAACCCCTGTCCCATCCCTTACTAGCTATGTGACGTTGGTCAGGCAAGTGCTCATTAGTATGAGCTGCGGTTTTCTCATCTGAAAAATGGGATAATGACATTTTCTACTTCACAGGGTAGCAGAGTGGATGAAATAACAAAAGTTATCTCGCAGACAGGGGCTCTCCCGGAGGCTGGCTCTGTATACCCACAGCGATGGCTGAGATCTAAGGGAGGAATCAGCAGAAGGTTCTCCCTATGGCCACACGTCCCAGGTGCATTAGCTCTATGTCCTGGAATGAATCCCAAGGGCGCCTCCAACATCCATTCCACCACAGATCAGAGCCAGTCATGACTGAAACCCTTCTCTCTGCCTGGGGTTGGTTCAGGGAAAGGCAGACGACACAATCTTAGCTGATATGATGTGAGAGGTTGTGAGAGTTACGAAGCTTCTCAGAAAATACTTCTGGCCTTCCACGTGGCTGGAGGACCGTACCTCCTGGCCCCTTGAGATTGGCTAGGTGGGGTCTGGGCCTGGTCTTGTCAACAAGCTGTGAGGGAAGCGACCTGGGGACAGTGGCTGCCTCTGGCAGCCTGGGTCCCGAGAGGTCCTCTGCCAACCAGCAGTAGAGCTCCAGCGTGGGCACTAGATACACCTTGGCTGATTTAAGTCACTGACGTTTTCAGGTGTTTGTTACTGAAATGGGGGAAGTGTGCAGGGGAGGGCTTCTGAGGTAAGCCTCCTGGCTCCTGAGAGCAATGACGAGGAAGGATGGCTTCTCTTCTTCACCTGGGTATTGCTGGGTCCAGACAGAACACCGTGACCCGCTGTTGACCTCAGGCTAGCAGCCTGAGGACGAGGCCAATGCTGAGCATACGAGACTTAGAAGGCGGAAGGGACTGGGCCTTTGATGATGTTGTTGAAATGCTGGATTAACCCTCCCTGGAGCCTGACCTATTTCTGAGCCTCCTTTTCTGTGCGATAATGCATTCCCACAATGTTTGGGCTAGCCAAATTTCAGTTATTTGTGGCTAGAACACCCCACTGACACAGGCCCGGCACTTCATGAGAGTCACGGAGCCTCTGTTAATGAAGCTTTGTGATTCCCCAACTTGCTTCCTTTGGAACTTGGGAGGCTGAGAAACTGGAACCCCCAACACTGAAAAGAGGAGTTAACTGACGTCTCTGGGGCCATCCTACCAGCCTAAAGCCAGGGCTGTTTCTGCAAAGCCTGACTCTAAACCCCTAGGCTTCACCGCCCCCCGGGCAGCAGAGGGGAGCTCCAGGGGTGCCCTGGACTTCCCGAAAACCCACTTCCACCCACCTGCCAAGAAAATATGTATTATCCCCACCTCCCCAAACCTTGACTTCTACTACCCCCAGGGAAGGCAGACAGAGCCAAAACAAGAAAAAGCACAGCAGGATTCAATACTGACTCAGCAGCCAGCCAACTGCCTGGTAAAATGTGGCTCCACCGCAGAGGGAAACTGAGGTGTTGATGTGTTTATTCCACTTCCTCAAAACGTCTGCATCAAATCCCGAGTACTAAAAGAAAATGTCAGCGGTGGCGGGGGTCAGCCCAAGGAAAGTGGAAGGTATGAGCGGAGGCTCCCCCAGTATCTATCCTGGGCTTGTGGCTTGGGAACAGAATCCCGGCTGTACCCAGGGCTGCAACGTAACTGGTTCACAGACCACATTTCCAGGCTCTCTTGCAGGCCTGGCCAATGTGATAACAGTGGTGCATGGGACTTCCAAGAAACCTCTGCAAGTGTGCTGCGGGTGCCTCGGCCTCGTCACCTCCTTAAGGCTGAAGCTCCAGCAGCCGCCTTACGATCAGTAGGCCACAGGCCAAGGATAGCAGAGAGCTGGTGAGGAGGAGCCTGGGTCTCTGACAACACTGGGGAAAGAAAGAAACTGTCTCGCCTGAGTCACTGTTTTCTCTATTATGCAGTTAAACCTGATCCTAACTGACGGACTGTCTTTAGCTGGAAGTATTTTACCATGCTTCACCACTCAGCTACTGTCCCTCCACGAAGACAACCTGTACTTTGTCCAATCACGTAATTCCCTAACAAACCCTATTATCCCAATGTAAAATGACTGACCTATGCTGCTGTTCTTTGGGGCGTGTGTGTGCACGCGCGCGCGTCCCTTTTGGCGCCGTTTCAAACGTTGCCAAGTCCTGGTCAAGCTGCTTGGAAATGCGGACATGCCGGCGCCTCACCATGCCTGGCTCTGGGCAAAAATCCCCAGAAGAAGAGAAGATCAGAGCTATTCTCAACCTCATCTGAGAAATGTTAGAGTCTTCTACCTTTTCTTGGAAGATGACATCACTTTAAAGATAAAGGGTTTTGGTTGTGGTGAGAAACTAACTATAGTTTCAGGCATCTTCAGGCAGGAGCTGATGTGCTGGTGGACCCTGAAGAGGCCTGGTGGGGAGTGCCTTCAGGTCGGCAGGGCTGGGCTGCCGGGATGTTGGCTTTGGGTTTCCTACATGGCCATGGAAGAAAGTACCAAGGCAGATGTGAACGCGGGCAAGAGCCTCTCTGGAGGGGAGGGCTCTGGCCGCTCTGCTGGTCTCCTACACGGACTGACGGAGGAATGCGTGGGTGAACTCCAAGATGACCGGGTGAGGTGGGTGAGGTGGGTGGATGATGTCATCGTTATTGGCTGCCACACCAACAACTGTCACCTTCTTTGTCCCTGCTGGTAAGGCCCAGGTTCCCCTGTGGCGCCCATCCTTCGGCCATGTGACCTGAATAAATCCTGACAAATTTAAGACAGTCAAGTGGGTCCAATGTGGCCCTGCCAGGGGATGGTTCAGGGATAGGTAAGAGACCCAGCTCCTTTACTTTTTTTTTTTTAACATTTATTTGAGAGACAGAGACAGAACATGAGTGGGTGAGGGGCGGAGAGACAGACACACACAGAATCCGAAGCAGGCTGCAGGCTCTGAGCTGTCAGCACAGAGCCCGGCATGGGGCTTGAACCCACAAACTGTGAGATCATGACCTGAGCCAAAGTCGGACGTTTCCCTGACTGAGTCACCCAGACGCCCCAAGAGACCCAGCTCCTTTACTCTCAAAAGCAAACAGAAGCTCTTTCATTTTTTTCTGCAGGGCACTGATTTTGCTTGGGGGTCACAACAGCCACCATGGGTCACTAAAGGAGTCAGTCCCTGAGGACTTCCCTAAACTAGCCCTACAGCCACCCTCCTTCTGGGCTATGTGATAATAAATTCCCTTTAGGGCCTCACGCCTTCTCAAGTTAGGTTTTCCGTCACCTGCAGTCAAATGCCTCCTCACCATTCTTTATGGAGCTGGCAGAGAAAAACAGGAAAAAGAAAAAAGAAAAGCCATCCAGGTGGTCTGCAGAGCAAAGGTCCGGCCGCCCCCTGCAGGCTTGCTGAGCCGGGTGCACTGTGCGTCCTAATCCTCCGTGCTGAGTTTAGTGGTTTGTTCACCCTGCCAACGAGGCTGGCAAACTCCTGAGGACACAGGCAGCAATTGCCCCCGCTGCCAGGACAGGCGCTGCGCTTGGTGGTAACTGTCATAACCGTTAAGGAGCACTTACTATGTGCCAGGCACAGTTCTAAGTGCTCTGCAAGGGTTTCCTCCTTGAGTATTCTCAACACTGCTCAGGGACAGACATTTTACATGTGAGCAAACTGAGGTGTGGAGAGGTGAAGTCACTTGCCCACACTCACAAGGCTGATAAAGGCCATCTTACTACCTCTCAGTAAATCCAGGATGGGCACCAGACAGATTCTGTGTCTAAGGGCTGTCACAATTCTAAGAGCTTGATGAACTCGGCAGGTAGCCGGCCCACTGGAGACAGCAGGAGACATAGGGGTCACAAGGGTTCCAGGAGGTCCTGGGGAAGCTGGGCGGAGAGGAGAGGGGAAAGGAGCTGAGGCTAACACCGGTACAGCCCTGGCCTGCTCCCAGGCCTCTTACCACGGGCTGGTGACTGACTGGGAAAGACACTTCTGAGGCTTTAGGGGATGCGTCGTGCTAGCAGACTTTGCAAAGCTTGGAATCTAGATGTTGACCGAGATAAAAACCACACAAACAAACTGTTGAGAACTGGGTTTCCTGTGGAGTCCTGGGAAGAGAGGGATAGGCTGGGAAGGCCTGATGTTTAACAAAGAAGTGTTCTTTTCCCACTTGTTCATGCCAGACAGCCTGAACAGTTTCCTGGGGCAGGGACTCCAGGAGGGACTGTGTATGTTAACCTGATTTGGAGGATAAGCTCAGAGACCTTTGGCAGGACAGGTCACGGGTCAGTATCAGTTCTCCAGAATCACATGGGCCTGGGTTCCTGTTCCAGCTCTACCACTTCCTGCAAGAGTGACC